CGCCCCCCCCCACTCGCCCGAGGCCTCCGCCCCTCCTGTGGCCGCCGGAGTGGCGGAAACGGGCCGGGCCGCCCCAGGCCCCGCCCCCGAGGCCTCACTTCCGGGTAATAGCACGCCTCGCTTGGCCCTGGCCGCAGACGAGATTATGGAGCGTCAGGTGAGGGCTCGGCTCGCGCTCCCGGTGTTCTCTGCAGCCCGAGCCGGGTCTGACCCTGGTGTGTCCCCTGCGCAGGTGCTGCTGAGCGAGCCCGAGGAGGCGGTGGCTCTGTACCGGGACCTTAGCCGCCATCCCGCACTGAGCGCCGCCTGCCTGGGCCCCGAGGTCACCACGCAGTACGGGGGCCGCTACCGGACGGTGCACACGGGTGTGTGTACGGAAGGAATTGGGTGGGCACGGGGCCGTGCACTCGCGGGGAGAGAAGAGCGATGCCGTGGGCTCGCTGTTGTTGGTGCACTCTCGTGTGTGGAGGAAGCGGAAGCTTGGCGGGTACACACCTATTGGTCCTTGCACATGGGGAGCTGGCGGGGCGTTTCCGAATGTTACCCTTAAGCGCATGGGTAGAGAGTGTGGACCTGGTAGGGTCTCCCCACCATCCCATCTCATGCACGAGTCAGGCTGCTGTCAAGACCCCAGAGTGGTACCAGGGCAGTAGTGGGTTCTCTTCAAGAGGCGCCAGCTCAGGCTGGAGGCCTGAACTTGGGCTCTGGCCAAGTGTTGTCCTGCATGCACCCAGGTGTCTGGAGACAGATTGGGGAAGTGGACCTGGCCCTACCAGGTGGGGAGAGGGGAGTACTGGAACTGGCCAAGACAAGTCTAGTAGCCTCATGTATTCCCTCACAGAATGGACCCAGCGGGACCTGGAACGCATGGAGATTATCCGATTCTGCCGCCAGTACCTGGTGTTCCATGACGGCGACTCGGTGGTGTTTGCAGGGCCTGCAGGAAACAGTGTGGAGACCCGGGGGGAGTAAGTTTGAGTGAGGACACTGGGCAAGCCATAGCTATCTGCAGTGCAAGCCTCTTAGGACTGCCTGCCCTGGGCCTGAGTCAGGTCCCTCCCTGCTCCTCCGGTGATATGGGTAGATAAGCACTAGAGGCCTCTTCCAAACTCCGACCTAGACTAGCATGCTCGGTGGCCTGGGGAGCTGGGGAGTCGTCCTTGCCCCAGGAAAGAGAGGCAAGGCCTGCTGCCATGACGGTGCTCGAGGTTCTGCAGGGGCTGCTGAGGGGCCAGAGCCTCGGGAATCCTGCGTAAGGCCACAGAGGGGGCTGGACAGGGCTGTCGGTGGGAGGCGATCCTGACCTGCTGCTCCATGTCCTCCACAGGCTGCTGAGCAGAGAGTCTCCCTCGGGTGCCTTGAAAGCGGTGCTGCGCAAGGTTGGGGGCTCGGGCTCTGGGGAAGAGAAACAGTTCTTGGAGGTGAGTGCAGGGGTCTGGGTGGTGGTGACTGGGGGTTCTGCCCCACAGCTAAGGCTGGCTGGGGGCAGGAAGCCTGATACTCACACGTCCTCAGGTCTGGGAGAAGAACCGGAAGCTCAAGAGCTTCAACCTGTCGGCGCTAGAGAAACATGGGCCTGTTTATGAGGATGGTGAGGCTCCTGGCTGGTGAGTGGGCAGAGTGGCAGGAGGGGCAGCCGTGGCCCTGGGCTCCCCCTGACCGGCCCTCCCTGCACCCAGACTGCTTTGGCTTCCTGTCCTGGTCGCACTCGGAGACCCACCTGTTATACGTGGCAGAGAAGAAGCGCCCCAAGGCCGAGTCCTTCTTCCAAACCAAAGCCTTGGACATCAGTGCCAGTGAGGATGACATGGCCAGGCCCAAGAAGCTAGAGCAGGCTGTGAAGGTGCTCGTGGCCGGGGCCGGTGCACAGAAGCCCTGCAGGCAGCCCTGGGACACCCTTCCCGCTCTGCACCTGTCAGAACTGGGCAGGCGCTGGCTTCTCAGCGGGGCAGGGTTGGGCCTCACTGACAGGCTGGGCATCAAAGATTTTGTCTCCTCCGGGGGAG